GAAGATGTAAGAACAGAGGTGGCAATGGTAGGAGTCAGGAGCAGGAGCACCTAATGCATCAGATACTGTGTGAGGCAGTTTCTAGGAAGAGCTGTACATCCACACCTGCTACAGATGAGGAAACCAGACTCACTCAGGCCATGCCGCAACTGGGGTCACAGGCCTAGCAAATCCTTGAGGTGGATTCAAATCTAAATTGTAGCAGCTTGAAACTGAATTATTCCTAATTAAGATCCCAGGAGAGTGCTTTAAAAACAATTTCAATGTCATTAACAGAGCTTTACAGCTGCCATTAATTGAATTCTAGAAATGATAATAATTACAACAAAATGCACACTTATTAACTGAGACACATGGAAGCCTAAGAAATCTCACACCTGTCATTATTGCAGCACTGAGGGTGGATCCAGTGCCTCTTACATAATTAGTAAGTGCTGAGTAATACTCCAAGACCTTGTCACATAGTTTGCCTGTATTGAAGTTTCTTATAGGAAACAAACAAACAAAGCAGCCCTCCAAAAGAGGCCAATAAAAACATTTCCTTGCAACCAAATAAATATTCAACTTTAAAAAATACTCTCAAATTTACTTGTTAAATTTATAGAGTTAAACATAACCCTTAACACTCTTTATCCACATTCCATAAAAACTGTCACACCTTAACAGGCGTTCAGGATGGATGTAGGACCTACCAATTATGTTAATTTTAACTCTGTTAACACTCAGAACAAAACATCCTATAGGTAATGCATATGACTTATTGAGCACAATACCCAAATCAAATGGCAACACTTTGCAATTATCTTCTAAATAACCTTCCTATGCAAAATGATATTCATTGGTTTCTTTCATAAGAGTAGTTGTCATAATAATATCATTATGACAGCTATAGCAGACAGGATTTATTGACAGTGACTAGGTGCTAGCTACAATGCTAATGACTTTACAGAGCTTCAAATTCCATTTTTCATCTTTGCATGTGTGTGTGATGTATATATATGTGGGAAAGTATGCATGTGCTTGTATGTGAGTGTGAATGCACCAATGACAACCTTGCTTGTTGGTCCTCTATACCACATATTGCTTTTACCGGGAGATCTAAACACAGGATCCCACACTTGCACAGCAAGCACCGAGCCAGCTTCCAATATGCTTCACATATGTTTATATGTTTGGTAACTTAATACTGACAACCTCAAAGAGACTTAGAGCATTATTGACATTTTACAGACATTGGAGAGGAAGCAAAGTTAATGGTTTCTCCCTCTTTCCTGCTGTTCTATATTAAAGGACCTCAGCTTCTAAAAGAACCCTCTGACCTGTTCTGCCTTAGTACAAAGCACAAGCTGTAGAGGCAATATCTAAAGGCAAAATCTAAGGATTTGCTCCATGATATCCAACATACTAGTTTTGGTAGAAAGAACTAAGTATGCAACGAACACCTAAAAATGTTATTTTCAGATAAATGAGCAAACCCATAGTGATCAGCCTGTTTGTTAACTCCGTCTTTGCCAGAAAAGTTTTCCAGTCTTTCCTTGTAATCTTCTTAACAGTCAAGACTATAGAGAGATTTCTAGACAAGTTTGAGAGTCTAGGTTCCTGAACCATGAATACCATTTAGTCATGAATGACGCTGACTATTGATCCATTCAACCATGCCAAGAGTTGTATCCCAAAGAGTAGTCATGTAGAGAATAAATCAACACATATAGAGCTTGCATAACCTACAGCTAGATTTTTCTCATTTGATAAAATAAGTTGGATTTGGGTCCTCCTTAGTCTAATAAAAACACCCAGACAAACCTCAAAATCACCTAAATAATAGATTCATATATATAAAAATATGAACTGAAATACAGACAAATCATTTCACAACAAGTTTCTAATAAAATAATCCAAAAAATAGAGTCTTGATTCTAAAAAAAAAAAGACATCTTATAAAAACTGGCATTGACCAGGCATAATGATGAACTTCAGTTTGTTTTGAAACAAAATGCCAAAGCACTTTAGCTGTCAGTATTGAACTTGCCAAGGACAAAAAAGAGAATAATTGGATAATTGACAATGATTAAAAAGAGATCTGTCCTTTGGACAGAAGAACCTGTTCTATGTGTTAGCCACAAAAGTAAAGAACAATGTGTTCTCTAACAGGATTTTATTTATGTGCTAAATTTTTTGATTTATGGTAATTGGAGGAGAAAAAGATAAAACTTACCACTACCAAAAAGAATTTACACAGTAAAAATAAACTAACAGGTAGAAAAGCTCCAATTATTTAATATGCAGACAAATCTTAGCTAGGAAACAATTTAGTAAGTACACAAATGATACAAGTAATTTTAGAGGAAGGGAAACTCCTTATCCAAACATATTTACAGGCATGACGAGCATAACTCCTTTCTAATCACATCTCAAGAACTATTCAGACAGGAAATCTAATCTCCAAAGAGATTACTTTAACCTAATCTGAGTAAAAATAGTGATTCTATGATAAGCCATGATCTTAACAAAACCTCCAGATATACCCTCAAACTAGCTGATTTTGGGTGTCTGCAGCAGATGGTGGATGGACACTAGCCTGTGATAAGAATATATATATATCTCATATATTCTTAGGAAGCACACAGTTTTGAATTTGTGTTTTCAGAGAATCATGTATCATGGAATCCAGAAAAAGATTTTCAGTTATTTAGTGGAGTTCTTACATTGTAGACAAGGGAACTGTGGTCCAGATAGCTGAACTAAATTAGTGAAAATCTAAGAGTTGGTTAGGGAGGGCAGCAAAGGTTTACAAATGTGAGCCCATGCCTTACTGCAACTGCGGTGTTCCATTCTGCCTTTGCCGGGATGAGACCAGCTTACAACCTTCCTGTGACAGTGAACACCATGGTCAAGGTTGGGGCTAATGTGGTACACTTTCAGTTGCTGGCTCCCTCTTTCTTAAAATATAAACAGCTCTGCATATTTGTGGGAAGAAAAACAAGAGCTAAATGGCATCTCTGTAGCATAGCTTACACAGTAGAAGGGCAACGAAAAGCACTCCTCATCTAACTCGAATTTTAGAGTGTAAGGAAGCTGAATTTCCCAGCTGGAGACTTTCAGATGACAAACCTTACCAATTAATATGAATGTACAGGTCTGGAGTCTGAAGGAAATCAGACCAGGCCTAAGGTAGAATCAGATGTGGACCACAAGAAAGAATTTTAATATGGACTGAAAACAAAAGGCAGTTCAAATCCTGCAACTCACTGGAAACTGTTAAGACAACACCAGAGCATCCCAGGGAGGCCAGTGGTGTCAGCAAAGTCAGATCCCGACTCTCCTATCCATCTTTTTTGCTCTCCCTCTCCTTCTTTCTCCAACTGGATCTCTCTTTTTTTTTTTTTTTTTATCTAGGACACCTTTGCTTCCACGCTACAGTTTTACTTATGTCCTTCATTCATTCTGAGAATTCAGAACCATAGCAAGATATTTAAAACATGCTATGTTATTAAAAAGGAAGAAAAGAAGCCCTTCTGAGAGGAAAATCATCATAACACATCAGTCACTTTGTAGAGCTCAGTTGAGAAGAATAAGGCTATTTTGTTTTGTTGAGGACCTGGTAAGGAAATTAACTTTCTTCAACCTGCTTCCTCAAGATCTCCAGCTTGTGTTTAGGGATGCCCTGTGAAGGTTTTGTACATGCTCCGTGGTGAGAGAGTGACATTTAGGATAAAGCACAGGATGCTCCAAGCAAAAGCTGCCCAGCAGCTGGACATATTGGGCACTTCTCTTGCTGAGAGTCTCCTGTGGTTTAGTCCTCTGCAAAGGGCTGAGCTTCTTCCAAAAGTTCAAAATTGATTTTTGATGGAGAGGATAAGTGAAGAAATTTCAGCCAACTAAGAGATAGATTCTTTTGATTAAATGTCAAACAAAAGTGAAAACGACGGCCCTCCAATGGACGGTGCTGTGGCAACTTTAGAGAGTGCGGAAAAATGGTGGCTGCTTCAGTGTAAAAGGGTATCTACCTCTTGAGAATTTTCATTTTCTGTAAAAATCCATAGATTAAAATGTGTTCCTGTGCTTGTCTTTGCATATTCATTTATGCTAAATTATGTAACACTTGAAAGAGAAACCCCAACATTTTATGGATTGTGGAACTACTAAATGTTTGAAATATTTGTAAATAATCCTGTCTTCTGTTCCATTACTGATCCTCTGAGTATGATATGTCCTTTTGGCAGTTCACTTTCCTAATGAGAAAGAAAGGCTCATCTTCTTCATTAGAAGACAAACTCAGCGCCGGGTGGTGGTGGCGCATGCCTTTAATCCCAGCACTCGGGAGGCAGAGGCAGGCGGATCTCTGTGAGTTCAAGGCCAGCCTGGTCTACAAAGTGAGTTCCAGGAAAGGCACAAAGCTACAGAGAGAAACCCTGTCTTGAAAACCAAAAAAAAAAAAAAAAGAAGAAGACAAACTCAGACATAAACCATTGTTTTCTTGTGGTTCAACAACTTAGTGAAGGACCTTGGAGCAGTTTCCCACAATTTCCTGCTACTAGCTCTACACTGGGCAATGTCAAGGTAGGACTGCACATTTATCCCAACGCTTCCATAGACTTGCTGGACATTTTGAACAACTTAGATCTTTTTCAAGTTTCTTTAGCCTAAAGTTTGAACCTTATAAATTTTGATAACAATGCAAGGCTCCTGAAGGAAACTTTTGTCACTTGTATTTTAAACTGAAAAAAAAAATCAATAAGAAGGAATATATTCATAAAACCATGTAGGGAAAAGAGGATTGGCAGGAGGGGGGAGGGCATGGAAGCGGAGAATGGAGGAGGATTGAAAATGCACTGAAAGTACATTATATACAGATGAAAATAGTCTACACAACCCAGTATAGTAAAAAACAATTAATAAATAAGTGACTAGAATAGATTCACAAACACCTTTCACTTCCCTCATACTCTACACAACATTCCCTTTTAACTAAAAGTGGAAACTTGTAGAGAAGCCCTTACCGACTTCCCACTTGAGAAGGCTGTTGTCCTCCCTCTCCATTTTTCCAATGACATACCAGATACATGCCATCCAGTGTGCAAGGAGAGCAAACATGGACATGAGCAGGGTGAGGACGATTGTGCTGTGCTGAGAATAACGGTCCAGTTTCTGTAGGAGGCGCAAAAGACGCAGCAGCCGGACAGTCTTCAGGAGATGCACAAGGGACACCTGTGGTGGGGACAGAGAGCCGTGGCTTGGCACAGAAGCTGCACTCATAGCACAGTGTTTTATGTAACCCACACCCACGGTGGAAAGTTTCTGAAATGCAAAATGATGGTGGTTTCACCCCTGTGAGCCTACTGAGGAGTGTTTCTGCTCCTCAGATACTGTGTCAAAAGGTGAAAGGATGAAGTAAGGTAGACTAAAGGTTACAGAGGTTCATTTAATTTTTCCTGCAAACACTTGACTTTATTCATTATAATTGACTTTGTTTTCTGCCTGATGGTATACAAATTTTTATATAATTCTCGGCAACTAAGACACACTGAGTGTAAGATGTCTCTCTCACCTTGGACACATTTTCTGTCAAGTCTGCTTTCCCTCTACAGAGAATAGATTTGTGTTGTAAGTAGTTCATACATATTGAACAAAATCTCAGAAAGTCATAATAAAATAATTTTAATTTAAGATTTTTTTTTGGTATTCATTTTCTGAGGCTAGGTTTTCATTAACTCCATGCTGACTTGGAAAGATTCATTTCTTTAAGTCAGCTGATCCAAAAACTTGAGTAAGTACTTCACACTCAAGTACCAGTGGCACCTTCTGTGTCATTGGCTAAATTACTTTGTTTCTACCACTATCAATGAACAGAGAAGACCTTCAGAGAGGCAGGCATTCAGACCTGGAGCTTCTCTCCAGAGGGTTTGGAAACTAAAATCAAGTGGAATGAAAAATTTTGGTGCATCTCCTATTCCCTATCTTTTCCTATAGTTAAATTATAGACTTCTGACTCAAGGGATACTTTCCCGAATTCAGGCATAAATTGAAAGATACAAGCCATTGGTGAACCCAGGCATGGTCAGAATTAGTGTTAATGAGAGGTGCACCTAATACATGCTCTCTAGCCACCTTCACAGAACTTCAGAGAGCATTCTAAAGTAGAAAACACAAGAGTATCAACATACGTAGAAACAGTTTGATGGACTCCTTGACCATTTACTTTCTTGGTGGAGCTACAACAGAGGAGGAAAAACTATAGCTTGTGGCTACAATTAGTCTCCTCTTCACAGAATATAATCACAGACAAGGTCAGCATCTTTGGAGGGATTACCTAGAAACCAGCTGGTCAATTGATTTCAATTATTTCCTCTGTTACTCATTTTTCCTTATCTCTAAGAAAAATATATGTAGAATATTGCCAGTGTTTGAAAGCCCTGAGCAAATAATTGACATAAGAATGAATGGACAAAAAAATGAATAGACAGATCAAGATATAAGCTAATCATATCTCAACATATGAACAGATATTCAACAATATTGTGCTCAATCCTAATCTTGTGAATTATTCTGCACTTAAACACAACACAATCTTTTCTTAAACCTTTTTTCCTTCTTCTTCTTCTCCTTCTTCTTCTTCTTCTTCTTCTTCTTCTTCTTCTTCTTCTTCTTCTTCTTCTTCTTCTTCTTCTTCTTCTTCTTCTTCTGTCTTCCTTCTCTCTTCTCCTCCTCTCCTCTCCCTGTCTCCTGTCCCTTCCTTTCCCTTCTCTTCTCCTGCCTGTGAAAGTCACAGGGTAATCCTCAGGAGTAGGTTCTCTCTTTCCAGTATGTGGGCCCCTGAGATGTAACTCAGGTTGCCAGGCTCAGCAGCAAGCACCTTTACCCAATGAGCACTTGGGAACCTGGTGGCTATTGTGCTCTTCTATTTCTTCTTGATACTCTTTATGGTCAAGTTTAGCTTTCTCTTTCCCTTCACAGTCAAGATTTCGTCTACCATTTATCAAGCTGGTGTGCAACACATGATCACATGCTAGGATTTTATAATCTCTACATTTTCATTTAGAGAATTATCATGAGTGGAGTTTGCTTGATAGGTAGCTGAATTTGATAGACAAGTGACAATTTTTAAGTGAAATGAACCTGGTACGGAACTCCCAGTGAAGGATGTTATCTAATGATATTGAAGCACATGCCCCATTTTCTCTGACCTCTGAGGAGGTGGTTCAGGAAAGAATATGGAGTTTTCCTTATGTGCCATTTCCACCACAAGCAGGGAATGTCAACTCTGATTCAGGATGACATCCTGGTGATAGACTGGGACATTTCAAACAGACAAAAATATTGCTAAGCTTGCTCACACCAGCTTCCTGCTGCAAATGAGGACTCAGGCTTTTGATGAATGTGGGAGATCATGATTCTTATTCCTTTTGGAATGGCTATCCTGAATTTGTCATGAAAGAGAAATGTAAGCTACTTGTGGACGGGTGTGTCTGTCCAAATTGGTAGCAGTTTCCACTTTTACTAACTGGACATGATCATTTTCCTGACTGGGGAAGCAGAAGTATGTGTGAAAGAGGGGTAAGATTAAAAGATTTCCTGATGCCAGAAATTAGGCAAAGTATTTGATAGACATGTTTTATTTTTAAGTTGCTCAAGAACTTTAGGAACTTTTTGTGCCCATTTTGTGAAGTTTTGATATTTCCTCAGATGGTAAGCGATCTATACCCTGGCCTTTCCACTGTATTTGTCTCTCACAGAACCTTTCACAGTCAGATGCATAGTAGATTTCAGTAGGTGAATACATGAATGGATTGAAAACATTTGCCAAGGGCAATTAGAAGCAGCAAGAGCCAAAGACTACAGAGCACTTTGTGATGTCCGTACTGCATTTTGAATTTCTTCTATGGAAATGTTTTCACTGGACATATTTAAAATCTGGTAGGAGCAGGCTTATTTTAGCTTCCATGTCTAGGAACATTTCTTATAAGTTGTTCTCATCATATGTTTTGTTGGAAAGGGAACAGAATATCTTAAACAAGCTTTTCTGTTCAAATAGGACATTTTTTAATTATTAACTTAGTTAAGGACAGAAGACTTGTGCTGCTCTTTAAATGACTAGGCCTGTGAAAAGTAGGAGCAGTGTCTTTGGTGGAAAGCTCCTCCTTCTCTCTCGTTTCTCTTTCTGACTTACAGCATTCACAAAGCATTTATCCAAGATTCCTAATACTGAGCAAGGGGGGAGGGCAGTGAAGTTGTCACCAAATATGAGGATCTCCCCTGTTAATTTAGACAACAATGAGGCTAACTGTATAGAAACACACACTGAATATCTCTTGTATATATTTATCATTCTATATTGCATATACATATTTAAAATTATCTTATTTCAGTACCCAAGGAAAAACAGACCATAAAAATCCTATTAATATTTAGTAGCAAAGCAGTAAATTAATTTAAAACCAAACTGTGTTAAGCAACATTTATTTGACCATTTGGCCAGAGAACTCAGAATACTTTAATAAACATTTTTTTAACTTATATACTACTTTTAGATTATTTTGCAGCTTTGAAAAATCCTTGTTTTAAGTCATTGCATTTTCATTAGGTACTTATCTAGACAAATTCAATCTCAAAATGTTCTTTAGAAAACATAGGTAACTATTCAGTGTCATTGGGATTGATATTACATGCTAACTTTTCTCTCTTATTAGCTTTCCTCCTAATGATGTCACCCTCAAGCTCTCAACTCAAAAAAAAAAGGACTAATCAAATTCTCAAGGCACAAGCAATTAACACATATGCAAATATGTAAGCCTGCACTAAGCAGTTGGGATAGAAGTTGTATGTTCATGTTGAAGCCAATGATGTCTGCAATTGAAATTCTGATCACTTTGCTACATAAATTCTTCAAAAAGGATATGATTTCTATGAGGGGGTATCAACTGAGAAGGAAATTTGTTTAATTTGAACTAATGTTTAGTACATTTGTTTTTACAGGCTAAAGTTGGTTACCACAGCAAAAACCATGTGCCAAACCAAAATTGGTCTTCCTAAACATGTCTCTGGTTGTAAAGAAGCACTTGATGGTTTTAAAAATGTCATCACTGAATGTAAAAACAGTTACTACTGCAAATGGAGCACTTTCTTCCTTGTGAGGATACAAGGTGACAGTGGAAAGAAGAGGGAGTACCAGTGTCAATCAACTCAAGAACCTCAAGATTTATGGTGAGGTTGCGCCATTTAAGGGGGTGAATTCCTGTACTCTAATGCTAGCAGTCCTCTTTGTCTGATCAGCCTTCCGTTAGCTTTGTTAATGAATAACAAAATAATAAAGAGATACAGAGTTAAAGAAGTGTTTTGCAATTCCCCACCAAACTCTCTAGCTGATTTCCTTTTAGGAATCTAAAGTGAAACTTTTATCCCTAGAGGTGGTTTGGTATCAAAGGATTTGTTTAGTGAGTAGAAATTTATGATAAATTCAGGTTTTCTTTCTGCATATGCTATATCTGGTTCTGAGATTGAAGGAAAGAATTAGAAAGAATTCATGGCCTCAAGTGTGAATCTGGCCTGTGTGTCACTGGACATCTCAGAACCTTATTACAGAGGCCACAAACCCTAGTGAGCACACACTGCCAACGACATTTAATACTAAACATATAAAAATCAAACACAACATTTAAAGGTCACATGGAAGATGTCTCTACTCACCACTGTGACATTGAAAGCATAGAGGAGGTCAAAGGGCAGGGCAGCAATCAAATCAATGATGAACCAAGTCGTGACGTAGTGGATGCAAATAGATCTGGCTTCAAAGATAACTTGACCAGACTTGCTGACATAAGTTGTTCGGAAATTTAGAATAATATCTGTTAGGGGAAAAAGATAATTAGGAAAAAATAGAGGGAAAAGGGGAAGGAAAAGAAAGAGTGAGAAATAATGGAGAAGAGAATAAAGGAAGGGAAGAATCCAGGAGGCAAGCAATCAGAGGAGAAGGGGGAAGAAATGTGTATAAAACTATACAAAATCAAGCAAAAAGTAATTTTAAGCTATTTCAGATTAGTGTCCTCATGGATTCATTGTAAATTAATGAGAAAATACTAAAGAAGGGCAAAGGACACTTGGGACACTATGTTCAAATGACTGAACAATTATAGTCATCAGAACAGTAGCAACATTACCAAGTGCCCAACATGCAATATTCTAGAGCTTGTCTGGTGATTGTTCCATCCCCATGGTAGAGGTAAGAACAAATTCATCCATATCATTGTAGCCAACAGCTGTCATGTGTGCAACATTACTTAATTCCATGCACAAAGTTTAGCAGATCACTGTGTGGACAGGAAATTTACCCTTGACTTGAAGGCATGTCTCTTACCAAGTCCAGCAGTTACTAATTTGGCTCTATAGCTTACTCTTTCTCATTCTGTTCTTGCATTTTAGGTCATTATTTTAAAACTTTCCCTATATAATTCTTTTGTTATGTGTTTATTGAGTCTTTTACTACATATAATACCCTCATAGGTGCTAGCCAAAGGACAAACCCACAACCAAGCATGTTTTCTTAAGTTTGAAGTCCTCTTTGTAAAGATGAGTATTTCACAGGTTGATATCTTGCTTTCTGGGTTAAGTATAATTAAGATGTATGTTTTCTTTAAGACCAAGTGCATGCAGCTCACAGTGAATTTCAGGATGGTTACACACATAAAAGAATGGCACATGTGGGCAGCTGACTCACAAACAGATATTACTCTATGAGCCTTATTTTGGGGTAATACACTGGTTCAACTCACAAATCAAATCAGGATATATGGTGAAATCAGTATCTCAGTTATTGAAACTAGGAATTGAGGTAATTACAAAACAATAAAAGCTCTGAGTTATAGAATGGATCAGCATTATCAGATGAATTGGCATACTCTGTAGCTAATTTAAACTATTGAAAATAATAACAGTGTTCTGTGAGGTGAAAGATATATTCATGATCACATGAATGACCCCATGATCACAATGTTGACTGCTGAAACCTGCTCATTGGTTAAACCCCAGCAAAACAACAACAACAACAAACAAGAAGATACCAAGTTTTGTTAGGGGATTAGATGGGGAGATAAAGGTGGATATGATCACATTTCCTTGTATTTATTTATGAAATTCTCAGGAATAGAGAAAAATATTTAAAACTGTTAAATTATACAAAACAAAATTAAAAATCTCATGGTTATGTTCATTATTAACTTGAATTTCATTTTGATTTTCATTTTGCACTCACCCTTCTGTAATAGACTAAGCATTCATGGCCCTGGCCTCCCTTCTGCACCCAGATATTTGCTGGTAGAATCTATGTACATGGTAATATGGGTCCATTGGTCAGGCTACACTTTAAAGCGGAAGCGGGCTGTGCTGAGGGGCTTCCCGTGCCAGGTCCTCTGAAGAGACTTTTCTTCAGCTCATGACAGGGAATTAAAAGATAATAAGTAGAAAATAACAACCATATCATGGAGCGAGCTACACAGCAGGGTCAATAGGTGGCTTCTAGGTACTATGTGAAACCCAAGACTGATTGCTAAGTAAATGTCTATTATGGAGGATCCATGATGGTGGGTTAGAAGCTAGAAGCACTTCCAGTTTCTGTGTCTCAGAAGCCAAAATCATAGCACAGCTCCTCAGTAGGGGTGGGGTATGGAACTGTGGGAGACAAGCAGAGGAGAATATGACCTAAAAGCTGACATAGAACTGAAGGACCATCTGAAGCGACCACAAGGAGCTTCCTTGTTTCTCAAGTAAAGCCCGTTTAAAAGGCTGTGATGAAATGTATGTTGCTTTGGAGACTGTTCCTGCTTTATTCTCATAGAATTCACAGCAAATACGTCTACACTGTAGACGCACAGCACCTACTGTGTGATAAGACATGGTGCAGCAAGCGCACTAGAAAACATAGGCACCTGATTCCAGTTGCAAACAAGGAATGAAGCTCATTCTTAAGAGGATGGGTCAGCGGGTCCCCTAAGGAGGCTCAGTGGACTGAGCAGAAGTATATGATCCACACAGTTGACTTGGCCTTATGAACCAGAGCTGTCTTAAGAGGAACAGCATGGATCCTGTCATGCATCCTTCACCCAGCCCAGTCTGTGGTTTGACCCTCTCTGTGGAATGTCTGAGATCTGGATGGAAAGAGGAGTTACAAGTGCAAAGACCCCATCTATCCCCACACACTCTCTCTGAAGGAACTTTTCTTCCATGCTACCATGCACTAGTGACCAGGAAAGCGAAGCTGTTCCATCCAGCTCTGGTCCCGAACAATTCTTGATCCAAAGCGGGCATCACACGAAAAAGAGAAGAGTGAATATCCCTTAACCACTGCCTTCTCCAGGGCTGTAGAGCTCAAGCAGACCAGGAAAGAAGTGTACAACCTGGCAGGGAGGGTTCAGCCATGCCACATGCCACATCCCAGCAAGACAACACATGATCTCTCATCCCCGCTCCTCTTCTTTTCCTATTTTCTAAGTTGGTTTGTATATGGACACAGCCATATGTAGTCCCCTTTTAGTCCTATTATTGATTTTTTTGTTTGTTGCTCTTCCCTCTTTTTCTCTTCCTCTAACAGCTGATCTCTTTTATTCTCTCCATATACATCCTTTTTCTGTTTTACCATAATTATGACCTTCACTTCATACCTTTTGTTTGATTACTCCCTGTCTACTTTTTGAATATTTTTTGCTTTTGTTTTCTATTTATTATTTTCTTTTATCCTAAGATATTGCAATCTTAAATTCTACCACAAACATAGTGACAAAGCCACCATGGCATTGGCTCAAAGCAGACATGGAATAGAATAGGATATCCAGAAATAAACACCCCAGTGTTCAGGAAATTGATTTTCAATATGGGTGCCAAAAACATACATTGGGAGAAAACAAAACAAAACAAAGCAAAACCTCTTCAACAAACAGTGCAGGAAGGAAGATATTCCCATGGGGAGACTAAAGCTAGCTAGATTCTAACTTCACCCCAAACAAAAGTCAATTAAAAAGAAAAAAAGGTTTGAGCAGGAGAGGGAAGATGAATAAGAGAGAGATGGGAGATAAAATAATAGAATTCATAATGACCATGTATGGAACTTTCAAGGAATAAAAAATACAAAATTGCATCAAGAACTGTAATATGAAAACTGAATGATTAAGAAAAATGTTCAAGGGCTTGAAAGATGACTCAGCTGTTAAGAGTACTGTCTCTTAACTTCCGGAGAACCCAGGTTTAATTCCCAGAACCTACTTGGCAGCTCACAACTCTGTATAACTCCAGGATCCAATACCTCACACAGACACACATGCAGGCAAAACACCAATGCTCATAAAATAAAAATAGATAAATTATAAAAAAAATTTGTTCAAAAGGAAGGAAGGAAGGAAGAAAAAGAAAGGAAGAAAGGAAAGAAGGAAGAAAGAAAGAGAAAACGAGGACTTGAGTATTAAAACCACAAAGATACAAATTCTCCCAATGACCATAGAGGTTTATGGAGAAAATGTAAGGTCCAGAAGAGACCACACAGCGCTGGAATGCTGGAGCTTGCACTTCAGCCATGTGAATGTCTGTGTGGCAGACATGCAGCTAAGCTATGCCTGGGTTTCTGGTGTTATTTAGACAGTGAGACGGTCAACAAACATTGCTTTACACTGAACATCTGCGGTTACTTGCCATGCATCAGTAACAATGTTGTCAATAACATCTGCCATGTCATTTGTCACTCATCCAGGGTGAGACAATGGATAGAGGACTTACGACAGACTATGTTTGTAGTTATAAATAACTCAGTAGTGTACAATGATGTTTTAATCTTTAGAATTGTGATCTTATTGACTCACGAAAGCAATACTAAGATGTGTACATTTTCATTATTCCCCTTTACAAGTAGGGAAACTGAGTGATAAAAGAGATGAAGTAACTTGTCCAGAATCACACAGATGACAATAGTGCACACATACTTAAATTCCACAGCTGACTAACGTAGGAGGAGGTGAACTCCACACCTCTGAGTTCCAGTTCAGAACTTTGGGTTTTGTGCCTTGGTGGAGACCAGTCACATCAGTAGTCTGGAATCATGGTCTCAGGGACCCTCAGTCCCCAAATTATAACTGTTCTAGTCTATGGTGAGAAAGTAAAACTGTTACTACTAAACATCACATTTCATCAGATGTAAATACATTTAGACATCTGCATTGTTACTATTGAGAAAGTGAAAGGGTGATGCTGACAGAAAAGGAATGCTCACACAAGACGGAGGTGCCCAGGTGGTCTCCACCACAGGGTAAGATACTGTGGTGACCCAGTATTGCTGGCCACAATGGGGCCAAGCCTGGCCACAGTGGGCAGAGGAGGAGAGAGAATGCCACCTGACCTTTGAGTGTTGTGGACTTTGTATACCTCCTTTTCATCTTTCTAAGCTCACAGATTTCTGCAGCAGTGAGCAATGTAACACGTGCAGTCACCACTTTGGAACAGAAGCAGGCATTGCCATTTCAGTGGGACTGCAAGGAAGCTCAGGCTAAGTAATTCGGTTCTAGAGAAACAGTGTTAGTTATCAAACCCATGGTGAAGTTTGGTGCCTATGGTACAAGTTGAGGTAAGTGTGTGAGTTCACCATAAAGTTCAAAGGACTGTATAACTAGAAAGAAGGAATGGCTGTCAATGTTATATGGCACTGGAGTTGATGAAATTAATTAAAAATTTCAAAATAGCTAGTACAACTGCTTGTTTTTCAAATGAGGATATGATGAATATTCAAGATATGCCAGCTATCCCTATGCAGCCATTATACATTGTGTGCATAAACTAAGGCATCACACTGAGCTACATGTATATGTGCATT